CACACACACACACACACACACACACACACACACACACACACACACACATACACTCCTTGTTTCTTGCATGTCATACCCTGCACTATCCCAAGACTCAACTTGGCAAGAAGGCCATTAACAGATGTGGCCCCTTGACCTTGAATCCAAACCATTTAGATCCAGATAAGGATCTTGAGAAAACCGTGGATTAAATGGAGCCTTACTTCTTAGAGCTAAGAAGAATGGAATAACCTAAGTTTGTGAAAAGGTACAAAAAATTAAACATTCACCTTGGTTGCCCTCTGTTTGAGAAGAAAATAGTTATGGATTCATCAGAAGTAATTATATATTCAACTGATGCATTTCCACCCGTGGTTTAGCTACACTTTTTACAACTGCACTCTTCAATGGCTGACAACTTCTGAATACGCTAATAATATGCATAATTCTTGAAGAGTTTTTTTCTATTTTCCTTTGGTGGTACTGGGGATTGAACCCAGGGCCTCACACATGGGAGACAAGTGTTCCACCACTGAGCTATATCCCCAGTCCTTAACAAGTATTTCTGAACATTATTGACTAAGCTATCATTTCTATACAAAAAAATTACAAAAGTATTGTGTCAACTGTTATGACAGAGAGAAGGAAGGGAGGGAGGGAGGGAGGGAAGAAGCCATTGACAGGGAGAAAATACTTACTCATCAGATATATGATAAAGAATTTGTATTCAGATTATATAAAGAACTCTTGAAACATTAACAACTAAACAGACTCAATGGTTAAAAAAAAAAAAAAACTTGGCTAACATAAAGGAGGTCCTGGGTTTGAGTCTCAACACCACAAACAAAACAACAAAAAGAGCTCAACAAAATAACAAAAAAGAGATTTGAGGAGACATTTCACCAAATATATGCGGTGACAAGCATATGAAAGGATATTCAGTATCAGTAATCATTAGGGAGATGCAAATCAAAACCATAAGATGAGGGCTGGGGTTGTGGCTCAGCGGTAGAGGCTTGCTTAGCACAAGCACGGCCCTGGGTTCAATCCTTAGCACCACATAAAAATAAAGATATTGTGTCCAACTACAATTAAAAAATAAATATTAAAAAAAAAAGGCAACACCATTCCATGCCTATTTGAAAGGCTGTAAACTGAAAAAGAAGAACTGAACAACTTTTCGTAAGAATGTGGAGGCAACTTAGGTAGTACTGACTAGCATTTCGTTCATAAACTAAAATTCCTGTAGTTTACTTGTCTGCACTGGGGATTGAACCTAGGGAAGCTTTACCATCGAGCTACATATCCAGTTTTTTTGTTTGTTTGTTTTGTTTTTTTTTGAGACAGGATCTTGCTTAATTGCCCAGGCTAGCCTTGAAATTGAGATTCTCTCATCTTATCTTCCTGAGTAGCTAGGATTACAGGCATGAACCACCGTACCCAATCATAAACTAAAGTTCTAAGTATGTAGGTCTGATAAAATATTGTATAAGATACGGATTATATGAGTAGTAAATAAAAGATCTTGCATTAGAATATGCTTCTATTGATACTAAATGAAAGACTCTTTACTCACTGTGTTTTTTGACGGCTCCCAGGCTGCATCTACCTTCCCCACATCCTGCATATCCTGCAGCTGACGTAGCTGAGACAAAGTGTGATGCCTCAGAGCTTCATGCAAAGGAGTATCTCCATCCTTATCCTGAATATCTAGTTTGGCACCTGCACGAACCAAAAGCTAAAAGAGAAAAAGATATCTCAAGTTAATAACGTGTTCACACCCATAAGAAACTTCTACATGTTTAAAGTAACAGTGAGAGCAGCCTGTACCTACTTGAAGGAGTTACTATTGAGCTAATGATTTTGATGTCTTTGCTTTCTACTATTCTACAGTGTTGTGGTTCCTTACAAAGAATGATGTGCTCTGGTTACTCAAAGAGATTAAAGTGGAGAAAACAGAAAGAAATGAGAATCAATATGCAGCTCAATTTATCTACTCTGAAAATGAAAACTGGGGTAAATTTAGGACTTTGTTTTCTACTTTCAATTTTAGATTAAGTTTTTTTAAGCTCTTAGGGGAAAAAAACCATACTGTTCAAAATTCTTCTATTATTTAAACAAAGAAGTATTGTCTTTGGTCAATTTTCTTCAAATGTATCCTCATGAGGCAAGTCCAAATATCATGGAAGATAAATGAAGATATTTTGGCAAAAGGATTTCAAAAAATAAATGTGACACAGTGTTTGTTAAAATACAACCTTTTAGATAAAATGCATAGCAGACATATTTCAATAAATGACTTAAGCAGTAGATACTTTTATTTAAGATTCTGCTTATGGTACTCTAATAATTTTCCTATCCTTTCTACAAATAACATCAATGAAGATATTTAGAAAAATACCATCTGTAGAAATCAATCTCAAGCATACGTCTTACTTGTATTGGCAAATTATGTTATTTTTTTCTGTGTTCCAATATTTTTCCAATATTTTTCAAATTTGAAAAATCATCAGAAGTACCTGTGTAATTTTTAAACTAGGGATTTTTTCCATCAGAATCCTAAAGGTTCTGATTTGTTTGTTCTGAGGTAAGGCCCAAGAATTACTTTTCTAGAGCCAGTCAGGGTAGCACACACCTATAATCCCAGCAACTCAGGGGGCTGAGGCAGGAGGATCACAGGTTCAAGACCAGCCTGAGACCCAGCCTCAAAACAAGTAACTAAATAAAAAGGGCTGGGGGTGTGCCTCAGCAGTAGAGCAACTCTGGGTTTAATCCCCAGTACTAAAAATAATAAAATTTCCTACCATCAAGTTCCCAGGTGATACTGATGCTGCTGCTTCAGCCTCCAAACTTGAAGAACCACTGCGCTACAAAAATATTTAAACCAATACTCTTCCAACTCTTTTTTTTTTTTTTTGAATCATCAGATTAGTAAAATAAAAATACATCTCAGCTGTTTTGGAATTTATAGTAGCAAATGTCCAGCTGAAGCTATTCATTTGCATTTTACTCTGTCACACACATTAAAAGGGAATATGCTTTTAAAAACTAATTTACATGTTACACTGAAATTTTCTCATTTAATATTCTGCGAATTCAGAAATTTAACAGAATGATAGACTTTGAACTTAGAATTTTGCTAGAAATTACCCCAACATGCAAAATATTACCCTAAAATTTTGTGACAGACTATGCATTTTGGGATGTGGAGGGAACACTCTGGGGCAGTTAACCACGAACCACATCCCCAGTCCTATTTTGTATTTTATTTAGAGACAGCGTCTCACTGAGTTGCTTAGTGCCTCACTTTTGCTACAGCTGGCTTTGAATTCGTGATCCTTCTGTCTCATCCTCCCAAGCCACTGGAATTACAGGTGTGTGCCACCACACCCAGCCCATTTTTGAGAAGTTTAACACTATATCATTTCAATTTTCAAGAAGTTCTAAAACTCTGGATAAAAATACAACGGTAAGGGGCTGGGATTGTGGCTCAGTGGTAAAGCAGGTTGCCTAGCATGTAGGAGGCACTGGGTTTGATCCTCAGCATTACATACAAAAATAAATAAAATAAAGTTATTCATTTTAAAAAAATCTGTAAGCCAATATTTATGTCAATAAATACTTTACCCTAACAATTTGGGTATGTTGTCGCTCAACAGCAAGGTGTAGGGCAGTCTGTTGGTTCACATTCTGGATATCTAGGTTTGCATTACCCTGAAGAACAACAAAAAATTTTAGGCGGTTATATTTTGACAACAGTAAAGAACAGTTAATTAATTATTCATAAGAAATAAACAATACTGGATACTGTTGACCATCTTCTCCTTCAAAGCTAAAAGGATATCATTCTTATAGGATAACAGGTCCTGTTACTATAGGGAAAATGGATGGGGCAGTAAATTTCTAAAGTAGAAGAACAAGTTTAAAACATTCTTTTTTCTATTAGAGTGATTCCATCCAAGAACAAAGGGCAAAGCATAGTAGAGGTAAAACAAAACTCTCTTTCAATCTCCATTATACAGTGACAGAAACAATCAACTCCTCTGAACTGTAAAGACTTCTGAAGCTACTGAGTTTTGATAGTGGCTTTAGATTTACTCTAATGACCTGATAAGTTCAATTGTTCTTGTTACATAATTGAGCTCTTCCACATTCTATGAAAAGAAACTTTGCTTGAGATGAGAAGAAGATGATATTTAATTAGTACATTAAAAAAAAAGGTACTAAACAGAGAGCAGGAAGTCCTATCCAGTATCCTACAGGACTTTTATGAGAACAGGTATTGATTAATGAGAACAAAGGACTATATAAAGAACAGGTGAAGCCTAAGCATAGGGAAAAGGACCTGAGGAGCAAAGCAACTGAACTTGTGAGTCAGGGGGCCTTGGTTCAAGCTCTGTCATTTATGTGAACTTCAGCAAGCATTACACCATTTCATACCTATTTCTCAGTTCTAAGGTGGCAACCACAATTATTTCATGGCGTTTATGTAAAGATTAAGAAAGTTAACATGTAAAACTGCCTAAACACAATATCTAGTATAATTAAAAAATTAAGTAAAATTAAGAAAAGAGCTAGAGGTTTGGGATATAAGTCGATATAAGTCAGTGGTAGAACACTTGCTTAGCAAATGCAAAGTCCTAGGTTTGACTCTTGACACCACATAAATAAAAAGAGTAAAATATTCAGAAGATATTGTTTTGTTTCAGTCTTAAAACTATTCATGCCCTCTGATGACAACTTTAATAGCCACCTATGCCTTTGCTTGCAGTATCAAGTAGAGTTGATACTCCAGTAATACTGCATCATATTTTGAAAGATGGGAGTTCCTTCTTTGTTATTATAATATTTGTTTCTTGGAGTACGGTCCTGAGGTACTTGATCTTATCATGTCTGTTCTCATATAAATGTGAACAACGGAGGATTTTCTTTTGAAGTTTCCTGAGCTTCTCTATCATTTAGATTTTGCTATTCTGATAGGATGGAGCTATTCTGAATAAAGCTGCTATGTACATTTAATACAAGTATTTGTGTGGAAATGTCTCTTCTTGGGTACAACCCTAGTAGTGAGGATGCTAGATCATATAGTAAACACACATTATCTTTGTAAGAATTCACCAAGTTGTTTTTCAAAGTGGTTGCTTTAAAAAACACCAGCGATATATATGAATTCTAATTACTCCACATTCTAATCAACACTTGGTTTAGCTGAACTTTCTAATTTTAGCCATTCTAGTGGTTGTAATTTCTGTCTCCCTAATGACCAATCACACTTTCATATGTTTGCGTGCTAACTGAAATCTCCTTTGGTAAAGTAAGTGTTTATATCTTTTGCCTATTTTACACAGATATTCATCCTTTTATACTTAAATTGTAAAAGTTCTTTATATAACCAGGATACTGGTCCTTCATCAGACAATACTTTGTAAATAGTTTTCCCTAGTGTAGCTTTCCTGATATTATCTTAATGAGAGAAAGTTTATTTTTTTTAATGAGGTCCAATTCATTCTTTTTTTTTTTTTTTTTGCCTTTAGGATTATGTCTTCCTGACTCCTTAAGAATTCTGTATACCTCCAAATCAGAAGATATTGTCCTATGTTCTCCTACAAAGTTTTTATGCTTTAAGCTTTTATAGTCAGGTGTATGACCCACTTAATTTTTGTATAAGGCATAAGGTAAAAAAAAAAAAAAATCAAAGATTTTTTTTCGGGGGGGGTGGTTTTTTGTTTCTGTTGGTCTAGAGATGCCTATTTTCCCCTAATATCACTTTTGAGAATCTATTTTTTTCCATTACGTTGGCACTTCAATCAAAAATTAACTGACCATATATGTGATTTTACTTATGTAATCTCTGTTCTTTTGATCTACATAACTATCTTTATAGAAAATACTAAGGAATCTATAAAGAATAATCTACTAAAACTAATAAATAAATTTAACCAAAGTCACACAATACGTAAGTAAAATATAAAAGGCATTTATATATATCTTGTTATGCTTTAGATACTAGATGTCCTCCAAAAACTCTTGAGTGACACTACACAAGAAGGTTTAGAGGTGAAATGACTGGTTATGAGAGCCTTAACTCAATAAGTGATTTAATCCCCTGATAGGGATTAATTGAGTGGTAACTGAAGGCAGATAGGGTGTGGCTGGAGGTGGTAGGTCACTGAGGGCATGACTTTAGGATATATATTTTGTCCCTGGTGAGTGGAGTCTCTTTATTTCTACTTCCTGGTGTCATGTTCCCAGCTGCTTTCCTTGGCCACACACTTCTGCCATGATGTTCTGCCTCATCTAAGGTCCTGAGGAATGGAGTCAGTCATCAATGGACTGAGACCTCTGAAACCATCAGCCCCAAATTGAATTTTTTCTCCTCTTTGTTCTTGTCAGGTCTTTTGGTCATGGCAGCAAAAAAGCTAACTAAAACACTAGCAATATACAATTAAAAACTGAAATGTAAAACCAATTCAAGGGCTGGGGTTGTGGCTCAGCAGCAGAGCGCTTGCCTTGCCTGTGCAAGGCCCTGGGTTTGATCCTCAGCACCACATAAAAATAAATAAATATAATATACTGTGTCCAACTACATATATTTAAAAATATATACTTAAAAATTACATATATTTAAAAAATAAATATTAAAAAAATTCAATAAACAGAGGTATGAAAAATTGTTCTATATGTGTAATAAGAATTGTGATGCATTCTGCTGTCATGTATTTAAAAAATAAAACCAATTAAAAAATAAATAAAATTTAAAAATAAAAACAAAACCAGCAAATAAAAAAAATTCAGTTTACAACAACATTCAAAAAAAGCAATCTAAAAACAAATCTAATTGTGCAAGAATAAACTCCCAACAGATTTTGGGAGGGGGAGGTGTACTGGGGATTGAACTCAGGGGCACTTGACCATTAAGCCACATCCCCAACCCTACTTTGTGTTGTTGTTTTGTTTTTTGTTTTTTGTTTTTTTAACAGACAGAATCTCACCGAGTTGCTTAGTGCCTTGATTTTTGCTGAGGCTAGCTTTTGAACATGACCCTCCTGTCTCAGCCTCCTGAGCTGCTGGGACCAACAGATATTTTTAACAGAGATTAATAAGCTGTGCCCTAAATATGCCCAATCTTGTCATATCTCAGAAGCTAATCAGGCCTGGGCTTTGTTAATACTTTGATGGGAAACTAACAAGTTGATTCTAAAATTTGTATGAAAATGCAAAAGACAGATGTTTTCAAGAAATTCTAAGAAAGAAGAAAAAAGTTGACAGGATTTAGTCTACTTGACTTCAAAACTTAGTATAAAGTAACAATAACCAAGGCAGTGTGATACTGGCATAAGGACAGTCATTTAGACCTCAATAAAAAGGAATTATCATAATTAACAAAGATAACAGTAATTTTAATAGTAAAGGCTTAAAATGGCAGGGGGTAAAAGTAATAACTCTTGAACTATTTAAATTTCTATAGTTTGGGGATGTTTATTTTATAATCTGATACTTAATTACACATAACATACTATTTATGAAGTTGTACTATTTCATTTATTAGACGGTAAGTTCCTTGAGGTCCGGAACCATAGATAATGCTTTGGTAACTTTAGTGTGTCTATATGGCATGTTTTCTTCGGGCACTTAAAGACTATGCTAAATATACTGAAACATTTATAATAAATCAGTTCCCCCCAAAATTCGATCTCATAAAAATATAGAATTATCTTATTTCAGAGATAAATGAATGACTAAGATGAGTTTATGCTACTATCCAACCACAAATTCTAGAGGTTCACAAGCAGTTGTGAACTAAATTCCTTGATCTTGGCTACAGGCTGCAGCCTGATAGCAACTGGCCACACTACTTAAGTATCAACATGGATGGTTCTTGATGTTATGGTTGGCTGACACTTCACCAACAGAGCAGCAATTTTGGTAAATCCTTGTTAACAGAAGCTCATTTCATCAGACCAATTCAGAAGGCTGTGTAGATGGAATGGTGGAAACTAATGGATCTACCTTCACACATACACACACATCCCCATCCCTACATTTAAGAACCGGTATCAGGAGAAGACAAAATATGAATTATACCCAAATTTTCATGGGGTTTGACTGTAACCTACTAATAAGAATTTAATGAAGTAATTCATCAATGAACAGGAATGTTCCAAAATTGTAAAAAATATTACTGAACTGCTTTCCCTACCTGATGTACCAACAGCTCAGCCACTTCTACGTGATTATTAAGGGCAGCCAGATGCAAGGCAGTATAACCATCATCTTTCTTCTCATCCACAATCCATGGTCTTGGTAATTTTGAGAGTAAAACACGCATTGCACTGAAAGTCAAATGCACATTTTTATATTTACAGATTATATATTACAAGCTTTTGAAATCAAATAGATCCTTTTTAAAGAAAATTTTATCCTTAGAAATAAATATAAATCCAAGTATTCTAATTCTCCAATGTACAGCTTTTTGTTATTTTGAGAGGCAAATAATCTATCACCATTTGAGGAACACAATTAAAATAGAATGGAAGTGCTACAAATTGGAAGCCAATTTCAATAGCATCTACTAATGAAAGAGTTAATAAAGAACGGGGAGGCCAGACATAGTGGTGCGTGTCTATAATGCCACCTACTAGGGTGGGGGTGCCAAGGCAGAAGGATGTTACATACAAACAGGATGAAGGTACAGAACAATCATGTATACACAGATCAATCCACAAGGCTATGTAGATGGAATGGTGAGAATTAAGGGATCTACCATCACACACACACACACACACACATCCCCACCCCTACATTTAAAAACTAGTTATCAGGAAAAGACTTAGAGAAGAAACTAAGCCTCTAAAATAATGAGATGAGAATCGCAAATGGTTCAAGATATGTTTCTTTAATGGCAATAGTCTATGAATCCCATGTAGGAAATTCAAAAAGTCTTAAGTATAGGCTTTGATGGATCCAAGAACCTCTAAAGTTGAACTTAAACAGGTTCAACTCAAAGAGCTTTATCAGATTTTTAAGCAAGTTTGTGACCCAAAGTATATTGAGTATAATAGTTTAAAGACCCCCTTCTGCGGCTATTTACTAAGTTATAACCCACTGTTAGACTTTTGGAAAGCTATGTACTCTCCTCCAGAGAAATACACATCAAAATTTTTACCTACAATTTTGAGTGAGTCAAAAAACCCTTAAATTCCTTTACTCTGACTCAGATTCTGAATGGGGAAAAATTGGTGATAGCACATTATACTACTGAATATCTGAATAATCATGATGCTAATTCCATACATTATCTATTACCCTACATATCTGACCATTCAAGAAACAGAATATATAGGGGTTTAAATCAGGTGAAAAAAAAGTTTTTTAAAAAAACACAATGTGAAGCCGGGCGTGGTGGCACAACCATGTAATTCCAGTGGCTTGGGAGGCTGAGGCAAGAGAGTCCTGAATTCAAAGCCAGCCTCAGCAAAAGCAAGGTGCTAAGCAACTCAGGGAGACCCTGTCTCTAAATAAAATACAAATAGAGCTAGGGATGTGGCTCAGTGGTCAAGTGTCCCTGAATTCAATCCCTGGTATGGTACCTACCAATCCAAAACACAATGTGATCATTAAAAAATAATGTAAATGCTTGCTATTGATTTAAACAAAAACTGTGATATAACTATGTTGAGAGGAAAGGTAGTAATGGAAGGTGATAATAGTTTTAAATCTTTTGAACAACAAGAAATCACTAGATAATGTCTGTATTTGATAAATTAAGAAACTGCAGGATGAGCTGCAAGTTATTGGTGAGGACAGGCATAAGAGGGATGAAACAGAATACAGTTCTCTTTCATTATAAGTCTTATAGTTCTATGATTTAACCATGCACATATTTTAGTTAAATGAAAAACTTTTGGGGGCAACATCTGTTGGCTCCCCTCTCACCCTGCAGGAGTTCTGTCTCCTTTCTTTTTACTTGAATAAATCCTACTTTTTTATGGGAAGAAAGGAAAGAAGGGAGGGAGGGGGGGAGAGAGGGAAAGGAGGGGAGGGGAAGAAGGGGAGGGGAGGAAGATAGAGGGGAGAGGTGAAGAGGGAGGCAAGAGACAGAGAAACGGAGGGAAGGAGAAAAGGAAATATTTGGTAATCAAAATACTAAGATAAAATTTGGCCCTACTATATTAAAATATTTTAAATTTGTATATTCCTTTAAGCCAAATGCACAAATGTTATGTAAGAAGTTATAAATGATAAAAGTATGTGGTTCCTGCCAACTTCATCAAGTTTTTTTTCTTTGAATCACATAACCTGAATAGGTATTCCGGAGAAGATGGTTTATGAAATGACATTTCGCATTGTCTTCCACTTTAGTTTTACAGTGTATATCCTTTTATTGCACTACCTACTCAAAGGAAGGAAAGGGGAAGAATTTCTCCTCTGGACACAAGCTGTCTGCTGCGACTCGTTCTTCTGGTCTTGCATTTCATAGTAAAGTTGCATCCCTCAGAAAGAAGAGCAAATGGCTCAGAAAATTACCAAGGCCAGTTATAAAGATGTTCTCCCAGAAACCTATTGCCTCTCTACTTTCTTCTTAGTGTGTATCTTGAATTGTCAGAACAATGGGAAAACAGTAATTGCAGGTTATGACTGGAAGTGATAAAAATTAACCTACTCCCTTCTAGATCACATTCTATAAAATAAATAAAATCTTAATATTAAAACTCAAAGTTCACATTTTCAGAGGGCAAATTTTCATTTCATAATAAATATGTTGTACTAACTAATTTCACTCAAATGTTGAAAATTACGTTAAAAAAGTAACCATAATTAAAATATAGTCAACCCTCCATATCCATGGGTTCCACATCTGAGAGTTTATCCAACCTCCAGATCAAAAGTACTGGAAGAAAATACACTGGATCTATCCTGAACATATACAACATTTTGGGTTATTATTCACTAAGGAATACTGTATAGCAACTAGTAATCTAGAGATGATTAAAGTATACAGTAACTTAGGTTGTATGCAAATACTATGCCCTTTTATATAAGGAACTTGAGCATCCACAGATTTTGGTACCCAATGAAGTCAACAGAGGATGACTGTACCATCTTTGTGGTGGCACATATCCACAATTCCAGCAACTCAGGACGCGAGGCAGAAAGATCACAAATTCAAGACCATCCTCAACAACTTAATGAAACCCTGTCTCAAAAAATTAAAAAGAACTAGGGATGTAGCTTAGTAGTAAAGTGCCCCTCGGTTCAACCCTCCAGTACCACAAAAGAAAAAAGTGTTATACTGACAAATGGGATGTATAAATCAGACAACAGTTAAGTAAATAAAACATGCAGATAACAACTAGAGAAAAGATACTTGTAGGAAAGATCCAGAAGTCTAATTTGGCTAAAAATCAAGTCACCAGGGGCTGGGATTGTAGCTCAGTGGTAGAGTGCACTGGGTTCAATCCCCAGCACCACATAAAAATAAAAATAAATAAATAAATAAATAAATAAAGGTATTGTGTCCATCTACAACTAAAAGTATTTTTTAAAAATCAGGTCACCAAAATGGAATTACAATTGAACAGATGAAAAATACATCTTTCTCTGGAAAACGATAATTGGTTAAGAAAGAAAAAAGAAAATAGTTTGTTCAAAGCCTTAAGAATGAGAAAAGCGTATCCCCAGAATTATTCAGAGAATGTCTCCTGACAAGCCCTATTTACCTTGTAGCAGAAAGTTTACCAGCGTATGTTAAATTACCAAAGTTTAATAGTACTATATTAAAATCATATAACTATCTTGCTCACCAATCGAGTATCAATTTTAATTTAGCTTCTCACAGATGTTTGTCCTACCAGCAAGGGTGACGGGGGCGGGGGACCTAATAATCAGGTATTGAGTAGTAATCCACTTGGCAATAACATTTCTTTTGTGACTTACACATTCACCTCTTACAAGTTTAATTACTGACAATCAGTCATCTGAATTCCAATTCTGGACCTATAGAGCTGATGCCAAAAACTTGGCCCTATTGAAGCCCTAACTTAGTGTGTGTGTGTGTGTGTGTGTAGTTTTTTTTGTGTGTATATATATATATATATATATATATACAGCTTTATATATGCATATATATTATATATATAGTCTCACCCATACATTTCTAGCTTATATTTCTAAGTGCAAATTTCACAATTCATATCCAATACCAAAAACTTCTACAGAAATCTATAAAATACCATAAGTTTGGGGAGGGAGGGAGGGAGGGAGGGTTGGGGAGTGATACTGGTCAAATTATATTGCTATATATTGTGTGCACATACAAATATGTTAATTACAAATCTCATCATGATGTACAATTATAATGCACCAATAAAAATTTGGGAAAAGGGGCTGGGGTTGTGGCTCAGTGATAGAGCGCTCACTTCACATATGTGGGACTCGGGGTTCAATCCTCAGCACCACATAAAAATAAATAATTGAAATTAAAAAATGTGGAAAAAATAGCAAAAAAGAATACTGTAAGATTGTTTTAAGAATTAAATAAGTTAATGTAGGTGACAATGTTTCAGTTGCAGGGTCTGCAACTATATAATCTATATAATATAAACTATGTATCTGTATATAATATATAACTGTATAATAGTATTACAATTCTATGTTTATAGACTTACAACCTGTACAACAAACTCCTTTTTTCCCCCTCTTCCTTCCAATGTTCTCTCTATATTTTTGATATTGATTTACACCCTCCCCACTTTTTTTAAGCCATTTAATCAGCCACCCTAGTCACAAACTTGGGAATCATCCTAGACACTTTTCTCCCTTCTTACTTCCACAATTTGCCCTGATGATTTTCCAGTTTAAACTAAAAGTATTCTTCCCCAAGGCCACTGAAATTTTTTATTTATCAATTTTTTGGTACTTAGGGATTGAACCGTGGTATTTTAATACTGAGGTACTTTCTCAGCCACACAAGCCCCCCCTACTTTTTTTCCCTTTTCATTTTAAGACAAGTTCTCACTCAGTTGCCCCAATAGGCCTCAAATTTGCAATCCTCCTGCCTCAGCCTTCCAACTAGCTGGGGTTACAGATCCCTGTATGTGGCCGACATTCTTTAGATAGGCTATCTTATCCTTCCTCTGGACAAGGATAGTAAATCCTTGTTAACGGAAGCTCATTTCATCAGACCAATCCAGAAGGCTGTGTAGATGGAATGGTGGAAACTAACCTTCACACATACATACACATATCTCCATCCCTACATTTAAAAACTGGTATCAGGAGAAGACAGAACATGAATTATATCTGAATTTTCATAGGGTTTTACTGTAATATA